CCGACGGGCCTCGGCGCGGCCAGTCGCATGTGTGGCGTGTGGGGACACACACACACACACACACGCAAGCGGGGCGTAGCGCGCGCCGCTTTTGTAAGCGCGTCCATGAGAAACTTTCACCGAGGAACAGCGACGAGAAGGGCGGGCGGACGGACGAGCTGGCAGGGCAGGCAGGGCCGCGAACGTGGGGCACGACGGCCCCGCCCCGCCCCGCCGATCTCGACGGAAACCGGCAAACAGCCAGGGCAGCCGGGGCAGCCACACGGAGAAACCCATCCATCGCCTACCCGGCGTCGCGCCGCGTCGTCCGGGCCGTCTCCGGGACGGGCGTCTTCGCCATGGTCTTGACGGAGGCGCCGCGGACGCAGCCGAACCGAGGAGCGCGTTTCCGGTCGGGGAGGATGCCGCGCTGCCGCGCTGGCCGCCTAGTGCGACGAGAAGGAAGGCGGCGCCAGGCTTGCCAACCGCCTTCCGAGAAAGCGCGGTCGGAGGACACAAGTTCGGAACGGTGTGCCCCGAACAACCGGAAGGCCGCAACGCCCCGTGCGACGGCCAGGCTCCGGGCTCCAGGGTCCAGGCGGCTGGGCTGGGCGGGGCGGCCTGGGCGGGGCGGCCGTCGGTGACAACCACACCGTAACGACAACGACGGCGACGCGGCGACGCCCCGTGCCGCCAGAGCATCGCCCTTCCCGTCCAGACACCTGCCCACGCCCCTGTGACACAGTGCGGCGCGGTGGCAGCGCGGCCGAGGCACCTTGACGCCGTCCTGAGCGGCCGGGGCTGGCGCTTGCATCAGGCCGCGGGCCGAGCGCCAAAGCGCCGCTGCAGCGCCAAGCCTGGCCCAGCCCAAGCGCCGCAGCCGCAATGCCAGCCGTTTCATCGCGCCGTCTCTGTCGCACTCGCGGGGCGTCCCGCGGGGGTGCGAGAGAGACGGCGAGGACCAAATGGGCAGCCAGGCGATAAGGCCGACGACCGCCTCGGTGGCGCGGAGTACGCACTACTTGGCGTGCTGCGTGCACTGAGGGCACTGCGAGCACTGCGCGGCGCGGACGATAAGCGACGCCATCGGCGGCCACCTGTCGGGGTGAGCTGTCACTCGGCGGTCGTCCACATATGACGTAACGCCTGTCGCGTGGACGCGGATGGGCCGCGGAAAGCCCTGGAACGACTGCACTGGCGTGACGGCGTGACCCACGGCCGCACCAGTGCAATCTCCAGCGCCGATATGACGCACGCTGTTCTGTCCACTGGAAGGTCTCCACACCAGCATGACGTGCTCGAGTCCCCAACAGTGTTCCCTACGCGCAATCCACACCGCACCCCGAGGGCGGACTGCAAGGCGATCCAACCCAGCCCGTACCTGCCGGTCTGTCTCCCTCGCACCCCTACCAGCCGGCCTGCGAGTGCGACAGAGGCAGGGCGATAGAGCAACCACTGTTCGGAACGGCCGGGTACGGTGTGCTGCCAAGGCCTTGCTGGCTGCTGGCAGTGCTGTGCTGGCGCTGGGGGCAAGCTGGCGGCAAGCTGGCGGCCCCCTTGGTGACGTGGAGGCGAGGAACCCGACGACGGCGAGCCGGCAACGCCGGACCGGGCCTCGCCCTCCCTCCCTTCCCCCCGATAATGACACCCGAAACTAAACGCGCAACGCGACGCGAGGCTCCAGGACCTCCAGCCAGCGTTTTGAGATAGGAGCGACGCGACGTGGCGCGAAGGCGCGAACCGCAAAAAGCGTCCAGACAATCGGGCCGGGCGGCGCGGCAAGGCACGGCAAGGCGCGGCAAGGCACGGCCAGCAACGCGGCCGAGATTATCATCATCTTGTTGCAGCCCGTCATCCCCGTCGTCGTTGATGCTCATCTCGCGCGGGAAAAAACGAAAACGACCCCCCGACGCGTCAGGTGCTGCAGCCGGTCGCTCCGGACGGCAGCCCAGCGGCTCGCCGCGGTTCTGGTTCTTCATCTTGAGCTGGGCCGTGCTGCGCGCTGCGCAGTGGCGGTGCCCACAGGGCCGAGTGACCAACGCGGAACCGCCCACGCCTGTCGCCTGTCACGGCCAGGGCATCAATCTAACGCAGGCCCTCCTCGGCCGCGACGGCGACGGGGGACGTCCACGGCATGACGAAGGAGGCCCGCGTGACCCCGCAGGCCCAGCGGCCCCGCCCTGCCGCCGGCAGTGTTTCGAGGCTCTGTCTCTCTCGCACCTGCAGGGACGGCCCGCGAGTGCGACAGAGACGGAGCGAGTTGCGGAATCGCTGAGCGGGCAGTGTAGCAGCGAGCCTCCGAGGGCAGCGAGACGCGACGCCATTGCCGCCGAATTCCACCCCCTCGCTGTGGCTGCGCGGGGCGGGGCGGGGCGGCTAGGCCGGGCGGGGCCGTGGGGGCTGTGCCCCACCCGGAACCGGACCCGGAACGCCCCGCGCGCAGCCCCGCCCCCGCCGCCCCCTCCTGCAACCCCCGGGGTATCGACCCGACCCGCGCCGAAGCGACCGGGCGGGGGCGGCGGAGTGGGGAGGGGAGGGGGCAAAATTAGAGCAAAGACGGCGAGGGGCAAAAAACGCACACACATGCACACGCACACAGTCGGAGTCTGTGTCCAGCTCAGTCCAACTCCAAGTCCGGCCTGCGAGACGCCGCGCCGCGCCGTGCCGCGCCCTTCCGCCGAGCGCGTTCCCCTCCGACCTTGCCATGGGGCTGCAGCACGGCACGGCACGGCACGGCACGGCGCCGCGTCCATCATCCCATGAATATTGCACGAGGGAGCGTCACGAGGCCGAGACGCCCCCGACCACCACGCCCCGCCCCGCCCCGCCGCCAAGGGGCAGCGTCCCGGCCGCAACACCCACCCCACCCCCGCGGCCAGGAGGGCGTCCCAGGGCACCCGCACCGTGGGGGTGGGGCGGGGCGTGGCGCGGCGTGGCGGGGCTCTGGGCCCAGTGCGCGCGGTCGTTAGGCACCCCACCCCCTCCCCTCTGTAAATTCCCTTTCTCCCTTCCTTGCTCCGCCTTTCTGCGCTAGCCTCGTCAAAATCGACGTCGTCCTCGCCCCAGCCGGCCCCAGCCCCGGGCCGAGGCTCGAGGCGTCGGGGCGCACATGCCCAGCCTGCCGGCCTAATCCCCGGCCGAGGCGGCCGAGGCCCTCCCAGCGCACCGCGAATCTCCATGGGCAGCCTCCGGGGGCAACGCCATGGCAAAGGGGCGTGGCGGGGGTGGCGCCTGGAGAGGCGGGTTCGAATCCCCGCGCCGGCACCAGTTTTTCATTCAATCTCCGGGACAAAGTTTGGCCACGCAGACTGTAGGACGTGGCCCTGGGTGCCTGGTACCTGCCAGCCCGACGGGTGGACGCACTGGCAAGGAGACCAAGGAGTCAGAGGAGGGAGAGGGGCAGGGAGGGGAGACAGACAGGCCGGGATAGTCCGACGAGCGAACGGACAGACGGACAGGCAGGCAGGCAGGCGGGCAGGCCGAGCAGGCAGCCTCAGTGCGTGGTTGCCACGCTGCCCGCTCTGCTCCACGCGACGCCACGGGGCGGGGCTGGCCGCCTCCTTCTCCTTCTTCCCAGCACACAGAACGGGCCAACTTTCTATCCATAGTCGCGGCGACGTACGCTCCGACTACAGCTCGTCCCGTGCAACTACGCCCCGACTAGAACCGGCCGGCCGTCAATCTAACTAGCCGCGAATCGCTCCTCGGGGTCGAGATCGCCGAGATTCCCTCGCGAGGCGCTAGGCAGGCCGCGTCGAGAAGCCCCCATTTACGGACGGGCCCCAAACGGTACAAACCGAGCTAGGCCGCCACGCGGTACGCGATGTACGCGGTGCCACGGCCTTTCTTCACGCGGTATCGCGTCGAGTTAGGCAAGGTCTCATATCTGCCGAAACGAGATAAATCATGGAAGATCCTACTCGTCGCGGGAGTGCTTTACTCACGTGCAGGGGGCGTACGTAACTCATGCACGGCGTGAGCGCGCTGTCCGAGGAGAGGGAGGGAGGTGATAAATTTAAACCTGGGTGCATTCTGAACCTGTCCCTGGTGCCAATGCCCCTTGCCGGCGAACCTCGGCTTTGTTTCGTCACCGCGAGTATAGTATTCAAACGACTCGAGCCCTGAGGCCGAGACGAATATTGACGAGTCGATGGAAATGCGCCCATTTCTCCGAAGCTGCGTGGCTGCGTGGCTGCGCGGCGACAGGGGCGATAGGGACGGCCCCCGGCATGACGCAGTAGGCGTGTGGACGTGGATGCAAAAAGGCAACGACGCCGGCCTTCCATATGCGAGAGTGGCCCGATGGGGATTGCCGGCTGAGGGGAGGGGGGAGGCGGGAGGGACCGCGCCTAAACGACGTGCTGGGAGTGGCCGCGAAGCGCGAAGCGCCGCGAAGACGCTGGCAAGGGAGGGGGGAGCCGCCAGCACTAGCGTAGCTAGCGTACAGCGGCGGGTGGGAGTGTACAAACAACGCCAAGCTGAAATGAAAGAAAACACGGGCAAAACATCCACCAACGAACATGCACTGTTAGCAACACACAACACTTGTTAAAGAGTACGCTAAGAAAAAATGTTAAAAACGCCATAGTTTCGGAAGTGTATCGATGCCCAGGACTTGGAGAGCGAAAAATCACTTGGTCTGCTTCCGTTGACACTTCACTCACTGCAGTCTTGAGGTAAACACTTGATTCCGTACAATGGGTATCCAGGCAGGTTTGGGGGGGCGGGCGTAAATCCATTGGGCCACTGTTGCTCCTGGGCGGGCGCTTCGTGTCATATCCAGTGACAATTCGACGAGGCACCACACATCACAAATACGTCATTCTCTTGAGATCACTGACACCAACACTTGAACCAAAAACACCACACACACAAGACACAGCCTCCAGCCCTGAGCAGACGACGACCACTTCCGAAATCTACGGCCAAAAAAGGGGGCGGTGGCCTCCACTGCCCCAGCACCGCTCGGCGCCCTCCCACCCCGGTAGACCCGGGGCGGAGAACACCCAAAAAATGCCTACCGTTTGAAATGCTCTCGAATCCTGTCTTCACGTATATTCTCCGGCAAATTTCCGACCCAAAGGTGTCGAGTCTCTCTAACCATCTTGCACTGTGCTCTTCATGAGGACGCGGACGCTTCCCTTACGTGGCATCCATGGACGAGGGTCCGCGACAATCCTTGTTTATCCGCACTGCACATTACAACACAACAATCACTCTGCCAGTCACGCGCGTGACGTCACACACTTTGCCGATAGCGAAACGGAACGGGGCGGCGACGCGCGGGACGCACGAGACACGCGCGACCGTGGTCTCCACTCGACTGCCGCGCCGCTCCCGCTGCCGCTTTGCCCGGCCCGCTCCGCTCCGCTCCGCGCTTCGCAGCGACGCGACGCCAGCGCTGTTGACGCGGCCGGGTACGGCAGGCACGGCAGGCACGGCAGGCACGGACGGCACGGACGGGCGAGCCCAAGTCGGGCACTCGAGGGGGAGAGGGGAGGAGCGGGGCGAGGCGAGGCGGGGAGAAGCGGGGCGGGGGAGGGGGACTTGTTTGCGGGTCGAACTTTCGTGCTGGCAGCAACTGCAGCAGCGGAGAGGGGAGGGGAGCGGGCGGGGCGGGGAAGTGGAGGGGGTGGCGGGGGACGCGGCCCGGCAGCGCGGTTCCAATCCCCCGCCGCCGCGAGTTCGCTTCGGGGAAGTGAACTTCTATCTCTAGCAGGCGCCCCTGATTGAACCGCGGGCACGGAGGAGCGATTTCGGAGCGAAGTTTTTAGTCTAATTTGAGTCTAGTTTGAATCTGCAGCGCCGTCGGGAGCCCAGACTGGCTGCGAAAATGGAGGAGAGCGTGTGCGACAGGGCCACGTTACACTGTCGTTACACTATCGTACACTACAGTGCCGCGCCAGACCACTGTTTTTACGGCAGTTTCCGCCGTTTCCCTAATTGAGTCGAGGCGGGCGATCGTGTTTCATTCGCAGCCACTCAATCACGGCCAGGCAGCCGCAGGCGGCTCGCTGGGAATACCGAGAACGCCGAGGACGGACGGCAGAACAATGACACGTTGCAATGAGCGAATGAGCGCATGTCAAAACACACCGCCACTCCCAGCCCGCGTTTTGTCGAGCGCCAGGGAAACCTAGAGAGAGTGGTTGCATATTTCATGGGCCATCCTAGGAGCATCTGTTATACTAACTTGAAGGATGTGTTTCATCAATCTGACCCTCCAGGGTATCTATCCGCGTGCACACGCGTCTGCATTACATACACCATCTCATTCATTTGATTTGTCTTTAGAAATACCTTATTTTCTCCGGCCAGCGGCACAAAAGAAAACCTTGCTGAATACGTATAAAACGTGAACAGTGTACACTGCAATTTACTCCGGAAGCACGATCCTCATACATTATACCTGCGTGTTCTCGGGAGAGCACACTACGTACACATACACCGCCAAAAGCACTCCACTCGTTCAAAGCAACTTCATGCATTAGTCACCGTCCCGAAGCGAAATAAAAATTTCAGCCCCGCGGCGGCGCCGCCGTCCGCTCGTCGTTGCGTGCGTCTGGACTGGCATCACTTCTTCCCTCCCGTAGACTCATTCCGGGAGTCGTTTTCGTCGCCCTGTCTCTCTCGCACCTGCAGGGGACGCCCCACGAGCGCGACGGAGACAGAGCGGCGAAAACGGCTCTCGGAATCAGTGTGCTGCCGTTGCCGCCATTGCTGTCATTTCCGACGTTCGTCGCACTTCGTCACACTTCCGGAAAACAGAGCGGGGCGTGCGAGCCGAATCGCCGAGGGATCGTAAATAAGTGAGCCGGAAGGCGAGGGGCGAGGGAAGGCAGGGAAGGCAGTGGAGAGCGGCGCGGAACGAAGGGGGAGAGAGAGGGGAGAGGGGCCGTGAGTACTACGGCGCAGCGCGCAGCCCAGCCCAGCGGGCAGAGCGGGCCCAGACCCAACGTACGACTCTGGGCTCGCTCAGAGCCACGGCGGAGCGGTTCGGCCGACACACTTGCCAGTACCAGTTACTCAGTGCGCATCATTCCGTCGTTTTAAAAAAGCGACCATTTGATTTAACCGAAACTTGGGTTTTCGAAACGGAAGGGAAGTTGAGGCTGTCGTTGCTCAATTCACATAATTTTGGTTTGCTGTAGTGTCAAGTAATGTGCTTCTATCAGTGCGTGGTTTAACCGCAGCTGTTTTGAGGTACTCAGTTTAAAGTTTTGAACGGGGAGGCGTGGGCGCGCACCAGGGACGCAGCGATACCCCATGGAGCTAGGCGCCGCTTCGGCGATACTCTGCGCCTGCGGCACTACTCCGCGTCCGCTGCGGTGCTGCGGTGCCGCCCGACGTCGCGGGGTATCGCCACGAGCACGGGGTATCGCGGGACTGGCGTAGAGAGCGGTAGAGAGACTCCGAGTCGCCGCCGTCAAGCCTGGAGCATCGCCGCGACTGCCGCGTCGAATGGGTTGCCTAACCTCACGGCGGTCTGTCTCTCTTTCTCCCCTCTTTCTCTCGCTCTCGCGGCGCGCGTGCATCGCGCGGTGAGACTATAGGAATCTGTGGGTCTAGGCGTGTTGGATTCGTAAATTGAAACACAGATTTGATCGAGAAGTACTTTAATCATCAAATTATTTACAGTTGTGACAATGCTATGAGATTCTGAATGTCGTACTGGAAATTCACCCAAACTCCGTCGTGTAGGAAGACAATAAATAGAAGAACAGGACATAAATTGAAAGAGATACAGTATTTTATTACGCTAGGCCTACTCTATGTAAAAAGAAAATACAAAAGGAAATGCATGGGGCTTTTCATGTTTGTTCTCTTCTTGAGTTCTATATTGGCAGTGCTCGTCAAAACAAGATCAACGATAATTTACCTAACATTACCCGCAGTGCGCGTCCGGGCTCTGCGGTGTGGCGGCCTACCCGCGGCCTACCCGCGGCCTACACGGACGTGGTGATCTGCTCGATGACGGTGACGTGCCTGCCGGGCGGCCGGTACAGCCCCTCGGGCACGGAGCGCGTGGCGCGCAGCGGCATGGTGGGCGGCGGCAGGTCGCACAGGATGGGGTACTGGTGGTGCGGGTACTGGTGGCACGGCGTCATCCTGGGCGTGAGCACGGCCTGGTGGCCCAGGTGGGGCAGGTGGTGCAGCGGCGCCGTCGCCGTGGTGAGCGGCGGCCCGCCCACGCCGAGGGGCAGCGGGCCCAGGTTGCCGACGAGGCCCAGGCCGCCCAGGCCGGCGGGGCCGCCAGCGCACACGCACGCGTCGCAGTCCCCGGTGACGTTGGTGTCGGTGTCCGGCCAGGCGGACAGGTGCACCAGCGCGGCGCCCACCAGCGCCCACGCCAGCGAGAAGTAGTAGCCGCACCGGGGGTTGCTCTCGTTGATGTAGCCTGGGGGAGGCAGACCGGCAGAGCAGGCGGTGAGGCGAGTGCCTTTTGGTTCTGCGGACTGATTCCGAGAGTCGCTCTGTCTCTCTCGCGCCTAAAGGGAAGCCCCGTGAGTGCGAGAGGGACAGCGCGATGAACAGGACTCTCGGAGTCAGTGCGCTGCTTACGGCTACTTATGGGTACTTACCAGTGACGGGGACGCCGAGCAGCACCGGCAGCGCCTGGGCGCTCTGCACGAAGCCCCAGGTCCGGGAGAAGTACCGCGCGCGCACCCGCTCCATGGTGAACATCTTGAGCGAGTACAGCGTGCCGCCCAGGCTGGTGCCGTACAGCCACGTGACCAGCACGTAGCCGTGGTAGCCCGTCACCCAGCCCAGCGCCAGCAGCGACAGCACTGCGGGCAAGCAAGCACACCGTCCCCAATCTCGTCGAGAAAGCAAAACAAACAAACTCCAGAACACCAGGGTCCGCCGGGCCGGGCCCAGACACGTACCGAGGCCCATGATGGAGGTCTGCAGGAGGTTCTGCCGCGACACGAGGCACTGGTCGCTGCCCCGCGACGTGATGACCCCCACGACGCAGCAGCCCAGCGCGGCGCCGAGCCCCAGGATGGTCTGCAGCAGCCGCACGCTGGCCTCGGGGAGGCCCTCCTTGGACGCCTGCAGGCCCTGCGATCAAGAATCACTGTCGTTGGCGTTTCTCTTTCTCCCTCTCCGTTTCCGCCGCCGTGCCGCCGCCGTGCCCCCGGCTCCCCGGTGCAGCGCGTCGTGCTGCGCGCTGTGCGCGACCCCCATTCCCCATTCCGCCTCCGCTTCCTCAATCAATCATTGCCATCTCGGTCGGCAGTGCAGGCACGCAGTCGCTCTGCTCGGGCCACGTTTCTTTCCAACCCCAGTTTTCGGAAATAAGCCAGTCCTGTTTTTATCGTGACGTGACGTCACAAGAAGAGAGCCCGTTTCTCGCACAAGTCCAAGACATGGAGACGCACCAGGTGGAAGGCCGGCGTGTAGAGGCCGGTGGCGCAGGCGGCCGAGGCGCCCAGCAGCAGGCGCACGGCCCTGGAGTGCAGCGGCGTGTAGTCGATGAGCGGCGGCCGGGGCGGCCGCAGGGCCTTCTTGTGCTTGACGCGCTTGCGCTGCGCCTTGAGGTGCGAGATGGCGCGCCGCTGCGGGTGGTACAGCGAGGCGGGCCGGTAGAGCACGCCGATGAAGAAGCCCGTGGCCACCAAGCCCGTGGCCGCCTGCAGCCCAAGTCGCCAGCCCAGCCGCCTGTGGAGCAACAAGACGGTTATTGCCGGCGTTACCGGCCACGGCGTCCAATCCGGGTCCAATCCGCTGGGCCCTCGGCTCGGAGGCGGAGGTACTCACGCGATGTTGTCCGAGTAGAAGGCGGCGAAGGTGGCGATGCCCAGCCCCACCCCGGACAGCATGAGGTACTCGGCGGAGGCGCGGCGCCGCTTGAAGTACTGGCCCAGCATGAGGGAGGCCGCCTCCCGCACCATGGACGCGCCCACGCCCAGCATCACGCCGTAGCTGCAACAGGGCGGGATGCCACCACGGTCAGAGTCCTGTCGCCCCCGCACCCCTGGGGACGCCCCCTGAGCGCGAGGGAGAGGGCGACTAACACACTGTCCTTTGAAAAAAATAACGACAAGCTCTGGTTTAATTAAACGCTGCCCGTATCGCTCTTGGCAATTACGGCGCTTCCGGGTGTCGCAGTCGGGCAGTCGGGCAGGCAGGCAGGCAGGCAGTCGCGAGGCCTCCAGACTCCGCCGTGCCTCGCCGCGCCGTCCATCGGCCATCCGAGCACCAATCACGTTCCGACGTCGTTAATTGAACGCCATTCGTTTCCAGAGGCACATTAATATTCCACCGGGGCGTCCCCGGCGTCCCCAACGGCGTGCTCGGGCTGCTGGGGGTGGCCCGCACCCCTTGACCCCCCCCGTCCCCCCGCCCTCGGCCTTGGCTCCAAACTTTGTGTACCTTGCCTGTTTTTCCCTCTGGCATGGTTTTCCCGGTCGTCACTCCCTTTGCCTCCTCTCTCGCTTTTTCCTGCTGTTTAAATAGTTAGTCCTCCAAGTTGGAACTTAGTTTCGGCTTTGGCCGCGACGAGGCGCCATTGTCGCGCTTTTTGTGGCGTGCAAGCCGTGCAAGCACCGTGCAGGCCGTGCATCAGGTGGAGTGGGCAGAGTGCGCAGCTCCCACGGTGCCATTGGCTAAACGACTCCCGGTCGCCTCCCCTCCCCTCCCCCTCCAAATGACCCCTAACCTCCTTCGTTTGGCCCCCAAACACTCCCCCAAAGTAAGTACAAGTGGCCCATCCTCTTCAATTCCCCCTTAATAATTCAGCCCCTCGCTTTTGGCGGCACTCTGGCGTCTCATTCTGCAGAATGCCTCCCGGGAGTGGAGCCGGGCCGAGCCGAACCGCCCCCTCGGCTTGCCTGGCTGCCGTGGCGGCAGGAATTAGGCTCATTCAGCCTGGAGTTCTGCCGAGCGATTCCGAGGAGTTGTCTCATCGCTCCGTCTCTCTCGCACCCGGACGAGACGCCCCATGAGAGCGACGGAGACAGAGGGGCTCTTCCGAAACAGTCTGCTGGGAGTCCTCCCGGACCGCGCCGCCACGCCACTCCGTTCGCTCCGTTCCGTGCGCACCGCGTCGCTGAGGAATCACCCTGTCACCAGCCTGTCCGCCCCGTCCGCCCCGACGCGGTGCTCGGCGTGCCCCGGGACGCGCCACGAAGAGCAGACTGTTCCGTCCCCCGCGAGGGAGCTTCGCAGTTTGAATGTCGCGCGCGTGCGCGGAATCGACGCGCCAGCAGGCTGCTTCCGAGCAGTGTCGTCGTCGAGGCGCCGCTCGGAATCAGACTGCACTCCTGTTATTGGTCCATTTTGTACAATAAGCGGCGAGCAGCGCCTGTTATTTTTCTTTCGCAACTTTTCGCTCGGCAGCGCCGCGCCCTCGCCCCGGCGATCACGTCGTCGTGTAACTGTAACTCTGTGACTGTCTGCGACTCGGCCCGAACAGCAATAAGCAATCACCGGCCGACTCGCTTCCGATGTCCCCCGATGGCAGCAGACGACAGACGACGGCGCGATTACAGGCAGTCGAGGCAGTCGATCGAGATTCGCATTATTCGGCCGCCTCCGATCGCCCGTGAGGACGCGCCCCGACTACCCCATTGTGGCAGAAGGCCTTTTTACTGCGAAATAAAAGGAGGGAGATGCACAGCCTCGAGACAAGGACGACGCGCAGTGTTTTATTTGTCCTCCCCGAAGAATTTGAATCACGCCGGAGTGGTGGTGCTCTTGGTGCTCTTGGCGCGTTACCCGAGACTGCCGACGTCACTAGATGCCCAAAGGCGCGCCTCTGGCAGCTGACTGGCTGGCTCCGCCCTCCCGAGACTTACCCTCTTTAAATTAATCAAATATTAACTCGACAAATTTGGCTCCCTTTCCCCGTGAGTGATTATTCCGGCATCCGCCTGGCCGGCCAACACACCGCAGGGCTGCCGTATCCGAGGCGGGCCGCGTGCGAAGCGGCGGCGCCGCACTGCAAGGCGGCAGGGCGGCCAGGGCGCGGGGCGGCGTCGAGGACGGCGTCGTCGCGAACGCAGTCCGTGCTGGTGGGGGCCTGTGGGGGCCCTGTGCGCCCTGGGACATGGGACGGCCGACGCACGGCTCGCTGCGGAGCCAGATTGGGGCGGGGGTCGCTCGGGGCAAAGGGGTAGCCGGAGTCGGTAGCCCGAGAAGGCCGAGGAGGCCGAGGAGGCCGAGGGTCGGGGTGGCCGCCGGCGTGCCGCGGCCGGGACGGCGGGGCAGCTGGGAGCCGCTAGGAGCCGCTTGCGGTCGGCCGGCCGGACTTTGCTCTTTGTGCGCCGCTACGCCACGCTACGCCACGCTACGCTCGCTGCGCACTATGAAGCCGCTTGTGGGTTTTCCTTCCGCCGGGCCGGGCGGCCGAACCGCGAGCGAAGCGGGCGAGACGCACTTTGCTGCGTTCCCGCGCACTTCCACGACGTCCTCCTCCGCCAAGGCGCTCTACGTCGCCGTCCCCAGCACTTGAGCCGAGCAGTGCGCGTCTCCGCGACTTGCGCATGCTTCGTGCTTCGCGGGGCGGGGCTTCTCCTTGTCTCCAGGAGCGACGCTGACGCTGGCGTCCCGGAGTGACAGGCGGTGGCGGCGGCGCCCACACACTCGGATCTCCAGGATATCGCGTCCGGGACGTCGGAGCGGAAGCGGAGCAAGCGGGGCGCCAGGACGCCCAGCACGACGCCCGGCAGGACGTTCGCCGTAATGTGACGCCAAATCCGCAGCCAACGGCAGGAAACAAACACTTTCTATCTCTGTCATCGGTCTTCCTTGTGGCCGAAAAAAATTTGCGAGGCCGAAACGGCGAAAAGGCCCCCGTTGGATTTATTGGTGCGTTGGTCCGCCATGCCGGCCTAGGCCGCCATGCCTCGCCGCTCCACTCCGCGCGCCGCCACGCCTCGAGACGTGGCGCTGCTAGGCGCTGCTCGCTCGGCCGCGCCCACCGCGCCGCCGGGCCGCCGGGCTCTAGGCCGAGCGCAGCGAGCCGGCCTCCCCTCCCCACTGCTAGTGGCGCCGCCCGAGGGGCCCCCTCCGCACCGTGATTCCGTGGTGTAGCGGTTATCACATCTGCCTAACACGCAGAAGGTCCCCAGTTCGATCCTGGGCGGAATCATTTTTATCCGGTTGTAATTGCCCGCTGTGCTCTTATCTTGATACCGTAGGGCAGCGTAGTACGTAACTCCTTATCAGGTAGCGTGGCCGAGCGGTCTAAGGCGCTGGTTTAAGGCACCAGTCTCCTCGGAGGCGAGGGTTCGAATCCCTCCGCTGCCACTGTTTTTCTCAGCACAAAAACAGTGAAATGGGAAACTTTATCTTGCCGAAGATTGAAAATGACAGTGGAGCCTGCAGAAAAATGTTTTTGAATAAGATGGGAAACTTTCTCTCTCTTCTGTGCCTCTGAAGGATGTCCCCCAACTCGAGCTAACCCCGACTGGCCGCACTTTGTCTGTTTCTTGCGGCGTTTCTGCCGACTTCGGCTAGTTGCTGTTCGCGCGGCGTGGCCATGTCGGGGCGTGGACGCCGGGAGGGCCGCGGGGGCCGGGAGGCGTGGACCGGGGCATGTTTGTCTGGCCAAGTCTCTCTCTCTCTTCTCGCTCTATCCCTTTACTTTCGGCGTCAAAAGGGAAGGGGGGACCCAGCGAGGCTCTGGACGGGATATAGGAGGCGATGGACCCTCCCAGCCCCGCCCTGTTTCCTTGGGATCAGCTGCAAGCAAGGCAGCACGGCGAAGCACGCCGAAGCACGGCGGGGCCTTGGGGATGCGCCGAAAGCCAGCCAGCCAGCCAGCCAGCCAGCCCACACGCCAGCCACGTCTTTTCCCGCCGCCTTGTGGCGGGATAGGATATCGGGCAAACCGGGTGATGAATAAAAGGCAAACAGAATGTGTCTTGGGCAAACACGCCACATCGGGTTACTGTGCGAGGTGCCGGAAAAACGGGGGCACTGCAAAAAAAGGGCGAGAGGGGAGGAAAGGGAAGACCAGGAACAGCGTCGCCCGCCGCGTCGCCGCGTCGAGTCGGAGAAGGCCGAGGACAGCGAGAGGGTTGGCGCCAGCGGCACTGCTAGTGGCACTGCTGCTACTGCTGCCCCAGATCAGACCGGGGCCATGTTCCAAAGCTGCCCGGCGCACACACGCTAAACTTGCAACTTGCTGGCGAGCCTGTAGTACATGCTTCCTGTTGCACGAACCGGGCCACCGCTCGACACCGAGGGCAGAACGCAGCTGCCTGTTTGATTTATGCGCTACATTCTCCCCACCCTCCAATATCTTTTCCACAAATGCAGCGGCGCGTCACTAAAGCGCTAGTCCCCACTTTTCTTAATTTCCAACAGCGGGGCGTCAAGAGAAACGGCCCCGGGGGGTGGCGGTGGGGGCGTAAGGAGGTCGGGGGATGGCGGTGGTGGAGGCTCAACTATACTCCGCGTCGCGCCCAGAAATTGGCCGCTTCCGTGGGCCGGGCCCGCCCCAGGCCCGCCCCGCCCGCCAGTCCGGCCCCAAAGCGTGCTTCGCAGCAGCGCTAACTATGGCTTTTCGTGATAAACGCGTGCCGGGACAGGCACGGGCCTGCGTAATGAGAATACAGCGTATAGTTTATTCAACCTAAGTAACTGCCCAGCTGCCAGGAAATAAGCTTTAAACTGAAGGCTGAAGCCCCGCGCGACTTGGCATGTTAACGATATTTCGTGAAAATATGCCCCCCTCCCGGTGTCAACCGCTACACTGTATAAGATCTCGCCTGGCTTTCAAGGGAGTGTCTTGAAATTTACATAAGTTGTTAATGGAGTCTCTTTGAAACCGTCGTGTACAAAATTAAAACTGCAATCCGAAACTCTTTCCCCAAGTGAAACTGTTTGTCGTGTAGGGTATGGTCGCCGCCTGCTGTATCTTTTCCCTTTTTATTCCGTTCCTTTATGTTTTCCAGCCTCACTTTCCCGGCCGAAATCGCGGCGTGCGTTGTCGTCAGCGCCAGCAGGCGCCACGGCCACGGTCTGGATGCGGTCGGTCTGAGTGACAAACATTACCCCTCCCCTCGGGTGCTTCCTCCATGGATGCTGCATCGTGTTCCTGGCTGCTCCGGCTGCTCTTCGACAAAAGTAGCGATAAGACGCTGGCTGGGTCTGGGGGTGCTGGCTGGCGCTGGCGCAGACACGGCCGGGACAAATGTCCCACTTCTCTGCACCTTTCGTCCGCACTCACACCACCGCACCCCGCCGCCGCTTTTTGTACGTGTGCAGTCCGCCTGCTTCTTGCGAAGCCGGCGAGGCGCAAGCGGACTGATTCTGAGTGGGGCGGTCTCTCTCTGGGGTGGTTCGCGAGGGTGCGAGAGAGACAGAGCGATGGTGCAGTCCGGGCCATTAGGCAGCAGACGGGCCGCGGCGAAAAGACAAACAGCAAAGCAGCACAGCAGCAAAGCCTGCAGCCCCTGCCGCCCCTGCCGCCCCTGCCGCGGCAAATCTGCGCACTGCGGGCTCGGCTCGGCTCTTCACGTCTCGGCTCGGCCCGGCTCGGCTCGGCTCGGCCCGGCTCGTACGGCCTCATCTTGTCGCGCGGGACAGACTCGGAGCGCGCGTCATCAGTCACCGACGCGCCCGGGGGATATGCAACACAGGTGGGCCTCACCTCACCCCATCCCCTCCACATCAGCCCGAAAGCCGCGCTCCCTTCGCTCGCGAATGCGCGAGGTAAAGTGAAAGCCCCGCCGGCGCCGCGTTTCGGAGGCGGCCACAATATGCCCGGGGCGGTACAGCAAACGTCATCTCATGCGCTTTTAGGCCCGCGATATACGGCGGGGCGGGGGCTGGGCTGCAGGGCGGCAGGGCGGCAGGCCAGGGGGTGGTTGTGCGCGGCAACGCGGCCACGCGGCGAGGCTCCGATTTATGGAGCACTAAGCGTTTTTCGCTGTTGAGTACACCATGCCACTTCCTGGCCTTCTCGCCGGCCAGCGCCGCGCAGCGCCGCACAGCGCCGCAATACCAACACGTGTTGCTGAGTGTTGCCGGCCCGAGCGGGTTCACTCCACTGTATTATAGACGAGGAAGTACGGCCGGCGAGTGGGAGCGGGAGAAAAACAGAAAAAGCTAGATCGAAGCGAGGGCTTTTCGCCTCGGGCGGGATGAGACAGGCCCACTCGGTCGCAGAGGGACGGTAACGGGGAGAACAAGTTTTCATAACGCGAAAGCCTGGCTGCCGGCAGCTCCGCCAGATGCCGCCCGGCGGGGCAGGCAGCCCGCACAACGCGCACGCCTTGCGTGGCCTACCGCCAAGGCGCTCTCTCTCTCTCTTTCTCTCTCTCTCTCTCTCTCTCTCTCTCTCTCTCTCTCCCTCTCCCTCGGCCTCACCTTAGCGACACCTGGTGCAGCTGCTGGGCGAAGGACGTGAAGAGGAAGGCGAGCGCCATGACCAGCCCGCCGAACACGGCGGTGAGGCGCGTGGACTTGCGGCGGCACAGCGACACGATCAGCGGCGAGATGAGCAGCGAGGAGGCCAGCGCGGAGCAGCCCAGCCACGCTGAGGGAGGGACAAAAACACAAAAATCAGGAGTCAGTTGCCGAGTCAGCGAGCGGCCCCGGGCCCTGGAGACAATCAAGGTGTTTCCCGCGCCCCCTCTCCCTCCAGGCGGGGCGGAACCGCGCGGCTGAGTTATGCAAGACTCGTTGGCGCCCTCGGCAAGCCCTCGGCCTTCAGGGGGTTGCCGCGGAGAGTACCTGTGTCCATGGTCCTGGCGTGGAGGTGCTTGACGGCGAAGGGCGCGGCCGAGCCCCAGGCCAGCAGCAGCCCCGAGGACAGGCCGTGGGCGAAGAGCGCCGTGCCGCACACCACCCAGCCCCAGCCGCCGTCGGGGTAGTAGTGGTGGCGGATGGCCGAGGTGTCCACGTCGGTGCGCCGCAGCGCGGGCACGTTGCGGTGCAGCGAGTGCATGTCGCGCTCGCAGATGGCCGCCACCGACTCCGAGTCCTCGGCCGCCATGTACTGCCGCGAGCTGGACGTCAGCCTGGAGCCTGCCGACAAGGGAAACAGAACACGCCGTTTACAACCACGGACTCATTCCCAACCAGAAAAGCAGGGGCTGAAAGGCAGCAACAACAAAAGTATAAAAGTGACGAATAAAAACAAAAACGTAGATCCGTGTTTCTGCTACACCTGCTGCCCCGCCCCGCAGGCGCAGGCCGCGCCTACAGCATTAAAACTGGCCATGTTTCTCCCTCCGCCTTTCGCCAGTGTGCACACCAGGGGGCCCTCCGGCCCGCTGGCCCTCTGGCCCTTATCTGCCCGCATCCTCGTCATGACGTCTATGTTCGAGGTGACCCAGTGAGGACGCTGTGAGGACGCCACGCCACTCAGTTTTCTTTTCATTTTGCCCCCTCCCCCTTCCCCCTTCCCCCTTCCCCCTTCCCCCTTCCCCCTTCCCCCTTTCCGGCCGCCACGCCCCGCCCCCTCGTTTCCGTGCCGCTCAAGTGTCGCGCCAGTGTCTATTCTGCACAATTGCTGCCCGGCCGGCCCGTCGGCTCAGATTCCGGCGGCCTGCCGGGCCTGCCGGCCCTGCCGGGCCTGCCCCGACTCCGCTCGTCCCCGACAGCGCGGCCGCAGCCCGCCGCGGGCACAGCGTGGCCACAGGGCGCACGCCGCAGGGCAGGCCGTCGCAGGCCGTCTCGCTCGCACTCGTCGAACACCGCTCCGGGCAGGCCGTGCCCAGGCCCTGGGGCTTGCCCTGGGGCTTGCCCTGGGGGGATGCTCTTGTTCTCATAAACTTTAATGTCGCGATCCTATCGGCCGCGGAGGTCCTGGGCGGGGAGGGGGAGGGGGCGTAAAAAGGGCGGACACAGATAGGGCAGCGCGGGCCGGCCGGGCGGGGTCAGGGTAGAAATGTCGAGCGCCAGGGGGGCGAGCAGCAGTGGGGGTGTTTCGACTGCCTCCCGCTTTTAATAGAAAATAATTTGAGATTCTTTTGTCCTTTTTGCTGGTGGTGCCACCGTGGTGGGGCGAGGAAAGGCCGGTCTAGGCTGGAGCGTGGCTGGAGCGTGGCTGGAGGGCGCCGAGTGACGGGCAGGCCGGGAGCGTCCGGAGGGCAGATTCTAATCACGATGCGGTGGCGGCACTGGCGGACTGGCGGACGGGCGGGGTGCAGATGGACGACTACCCCATCCCCTCCACTTTCCCGGGGCCTTTCTTCCCCGCAGACCAAAGGCCGCCGTGATTCTGCGGCCGGCCGGCGATGCCCACGGCACTGTGAAGTGCACTCGGGCAAGGGCTTCATCCCGGCCGGCGGTGCAGTCAGCCGGTACTCCTCGCAATGAGGGCCAAAAAACAAGTCTCGGCAAACAGCGCGGCGCCGGGCCACACAGCCACACCTCCACTCCGCCGAGCACTTCCCTGAGCTGTCGCCGGGCCGCTTCGTCGAGTGGCAATTCGACCACGCCGCCGTTCGGCGGGGCGGCGCGGACGTCTCATCTCTCAAAGTTTCCAAAGCGGCGGCAACTCCGCGCCGAGTTCACCTTTGTCACGCCGAGGCGCGCTGAGGGCATCCTGGCGGGACAGTTGAAGCAGACATCTGAAATCGGAGTAGTCTCCTGGCCGCGTTGGAAGGGCGGGAAGGGCGGGCAGGGCGGGGGTCTGGACGGATTCCAAGGGACAGGACGGCGAAGTGGCGGCGACGCGGCGACGGCGACGTCCCTGACGACGGACGACGCGTCCTGGGGGGGGGGGGGGGCACCTCAGCCCGCCCGCAGCTCAGGCCGCAGCACAGGCCGCGGACTCACAGGGAGAGGGAGACGCACCGAATCTCCCAGCTGCTTCGCGACTGACGAATGAAAAGAGCCACCAATTATCAATTAGCAGCCGATCAATCTGGACGGAGCGGGAGGTCCGGGAGGTTCGGGAGGTCCCCGCCAACCCAGCGGACGAGTGTCGGCCTCGTCAATGCTTTCCCGCTTTCTCATTTCCACCGAATTCCATTAGGGCCGCTTCGCGCTTCGCATTGCGAGATGTCGGCGTGCCCATTCCGAGGCCCTCTTTTTCGTAGCTCTGTCTCTCTCGCACTCGCGGGGCCGCCGGTGAGGAGTGCGAGAGAGACAGAGCACCAGCATGCTGTCGGCTGGGCCCTCAACTTTGGGAAATGTGAACGCGAATCACGATTTCGAAATGAAATTCTTTCTTTTGTTAGCCTCGGATATAACTCGGCCTTAATAACGGTTGCAAAACGAATCGTTGAAGGCGTGTGCTATTACTGGAGTCGCCATTTTCGGGGCGGCGCGGGCGAGTGGCCCCCACACTCTCGGCGCGGCGCTTCGCTTCGGGCAGGGCGCTTTGGGCTGCTGCCAGCAAACATCGGCTATAATGGAAGCCCCCTTAAGGAGCGCTTTCCGAGAGCAACACATCATGTGCTACGTGCTGAAGGGCCTGGAGGGCCGGCCGTCGGCTGCCGTCGGCTGGGAATGGCGGGATGAACGACTCACTGTGGGGCTGATGCTGACGTCGGGGACGTCGGGGACGTCGGGGACGTCGGGGACGTCGGGGACGTCGGGGACGTCGGGGACGTCGGGGACGTCGGGGACGTCGGGGACGTCGGGGACGTCGGGGACGTCGGGGACGTCGGGGACGTCGGGGACGTCGGGGACGTCGGGGACGTCGGGGACGTCGGGGACGTCGGGGACGTCGGGGACGTCGGGGACGTCGGGACGCGGGGACGTCGGGGACGTCGGGGACGATCGGGGACGTCGGGGACGTCGGGGACGTCGGGACGTCGCAGGGACGCGGGGCACTCGGGCGCGGGACGACGGGCGTCGGGGACGTACGGGGACGACGTGGGACGTCGGGGAAACGAATCGAAAGGATCGGGGACGTCGGGGACGTCGGGGACGTCGGGGACGTCGGGGACGTCGGGGACGTCGGGGACGTCGCACAGACCAGCCGGGGCATCTCCAGGCCCACGACCATTTTCCGCACAAACTAAACAAGTGGGAGTTTGAAAACGAATCGAAATGGAATGGATAAAATTCCAGCCTGACTGGGTAATCGAACCCAGGTCTGCTGGCAGAGAATTCGGAGGCCAAACTGCGAGCGACTCGGAGCAGCGCGTCATCGCGGTCTGGCGGTGCGGGGCGCTGACCGAGGCGACCTAGTACGTGGCCGAGGCCGCGGCGCCGGGACCGCGGAGACCGCCGGGCCGGGCCGGGGCGCTGCTCTTGTCAGCGGTATAAGCGTGCCGCTCCACTTCGCTTCGCGGGCGAGTCGCTGCCAGAGCCGAACAGTGCTTCGTCGCTCACTCCCTCGCCGGGTGCGAGAGAGGCAGGGCGACGAGAGCACTGTTCGGAGCCAGCCTGTCGGCATCCCCGCTCGACCCATTTTCGGCGCGAGACGCCGCAGCTCGCGCCGCAGTTTGTGATTCCGCCCTCGCCGGCGCCCCGCCGCTCGCGCCGATTGCCTGTTATCGGGGCCGCGAATAGCCGCATCACACCCCTTGGCTCACGCGGCGTGGGAGTGAGTGAGTGGAGAGAGAGAGAGACGCGGGCCGTTCGAATTGAAGCCATCTTCCTCCGGACCGCCGTCATGTTTCTCAGAACGGACGCCTTTTCTGGAGCTGGAGCCCCGCCGTCGCGCTGCTTCCGGGACGTTCCGGGACGTTCCGGGACGGCCCGAGACGTCGTCCGACTCTTCGACGGCTTCCGGCTGGAGCTGCTTTCACAGTGGCGGCCCGCGGCCCACCCCGCTCCCTTTGCAGTGCAGCAGCGACTCCCCCCCGGACTCCCCGCGCACCACGCCAGTGGATGGCATGCCTCTCCCGGGGAAATTAGAGGCGTCAGGTCGGACGGAATTTCCTTCATTCTGCAGAATGTCGAGGCCTCGGACGGCACGGCCAAGGGCCCGGCCCGGCCGCGCGGCTGTTGGCAGGCTGTAGGCGCGGGGAACGCCGTGAGAGAGAGAGAGAGAGAGAGAGAGAGAGAGAGAGAGAGAGAGAGAGAGGGGGGGGGGGGGAGGGAGAGACAGAGACAGAGAGAGAGCGAGTGAGGTAGGGGCCAAAGGGTCAGCGAGCAGCCCCGTGCGCTGAGCGACGCGGTCCACTTATTTCTATTCATTATTTCTCCACTGAGAGGTAAGTCAACTGAAGCGAAAAAATAAGATTTTCCAGAAGAATGTTTTCTACATTCCAAAATTTTCAGAATAGAAATATGGTTCGGTCAACTGATCCACCCCGCCGCGGAAAGACGGAGTCTGGCGTCGTCATTTTGCAGGATGATTCATTAATTGCAGCACCATCCGGCTCGGCTCGGCTCGGCTTCCCAGGAACCGTTATTAATCTTTCGCAGCACTGCGCAGCACGCGGTGCAGGCAGTGCGAGGGAGGCTGAACGCCGCGCGCGGTAGGCAAGCCGCCGAACACGCGCGCGCACAGCCGGAGGGGTTGCCTACCCTGCTCTCCGCAGGCGTTAGACCGGCAGGCGCGAGGTAGGCAACCCGTCGAACACCCGCGCGCACAGCCGGAGGGGTTGCCTACCCTGCATTCCACAGGCGCTAATCCCGCCAAGTCGTCCGTGTTTGACACCCGGATCGCGCGATCCGGTGTCGCGTGTAAGTGTACCCCCCCCCCCCCCCCCCCCCCCGACCCAGAGTCCCCCCCGGGTACACAACGCCTAGGGCCAAAGTACCCTGGAGTACATGACGACTAGGTTCAATGTACCCGGGGGTACAATTCGCCTAGGTGCCAGGCAAATTGTACCCCGGGTACAATGCGGCTAGGCGAAATGTACCCCGGGTACTTTTTGCCCAGGCTTATTGTATCCCCCGCCGGCGGAGGAGGATGCACGTCGCCTAGGCGCAATGCATCCCCCCCCCCCCCCGGATACAAAAGCCTAGGCGAATTCCCCCTCGGCCGGCCGGAGGGGGATACAAAAAGCCTAGGCGCAATGCACCCCCCCGGATACAAAGAGCCTGGGCGAGGATATCCCCTCGGCCGGCCGGAGGGGGATACAAAAAGCCTACCCCAATGCCCCCCCCCCCCCCGG